ACCTTAGGCATGAAAGATGGCTGGGTGACTTTGGGCCAGTCACACTCTCTCAGCCCACAATGTCAGGCTTGGGTGACAAGCCGATTGATCAATTCCTGTTGCAACCAACAGATCAACATTCAGTTGATCTGAAAAAAGCAGACCATGCACCTGAGGGAAAATGCTAGGAAGAAAAAAAATTATTCAAGAAAACTTAATGAACATGTCCATGTAGTCCAGGAAATTTAGCTGAACTCATTACCTTCCACTCTTGTTTAATCTATCTTGATGTGGTCCAGGGTGTTTGTGTTCAAAGGAAGGCAAATGACATTGAGATAGCATATAAATATGCACAGAGAAAATATAAGACACAATCCCCTTAGCTGGTAATAAGTCTCTCAGAGCTACAGTATATCTCAGTAGACGTGGATAGGATTAGAAATATTATCCGGATTAGACATATACAGGATTATGCATCTTTTAATATCCTTCATAGTGCAATCCAATTTGTATATATCCAGTGGAGCTTACTCTTGAATTAGAATGTTTAGGACTGAAGCTTTACTAGGTCATTCTATGCACATTATTTCAGAAATGGCTTCTATTAAGAACAGTGAAACCTGCTTCCAATATCCTCTGTTTCTGACTTGTTGCTACAATGATTCAGTGGAAGAGACTCTTTTTTCCATAAACTATGTGACTATACATGCTTCCCTCTAAGTCTCACTGAACTCAACAGTATTTTAAAGTAGATATAGACTGTTAATATTAGGAACTAGTTTCAATGCAGATATTATATGAAACACTCAATCAGCACTCTACATGACAGAGTAACATATTTTGGGGAAAAAATATGATCCTGCCTTTGTTTTTGAGGAACTATTAAATTTATTTTCTTTCTGAGGAGGGAATGGCTAACCACTGGAGAAGATGATGTGGTTTGCTCACTGCTCTCCTCCTGAGCCAGCTTATTTGGAAGAGTTCAGCCCTTCTAACTTAGTCATTTTGGAAGATCAAAGAGAGAACAAATGCCAAGGAAAGGAGCCTCATGTAAAGGCAAAGGAATTACAGCTTATTTGTATGAATATGTAAGCCTCAGCACTCCTCCAGCAATGAGGATGAAATCACTGATGAAGACCTCTACAATAAAATACCTAAGGTAAGTCATTTTGGTAACATACTGAGTCTGACTTGATCAAGGACTT